TATATGGTTTGTACATGGTGTATTGATGCAAAATGTAATAATATTTTCGTAACAGGTACTCAGTATTTTAGAGAACAGTATCTTCAATGGCATATGGAACGATTTGATTATAAAAAAGTTGTATATGCACGTAGTAAAAATCAAGTTAATATTATATCTAGTATACATCAATGTGCTAAATCTAATCAATTACAAACAATGAGAAAAATGATGAATATTTACTTTTTTGTAAAGCATAATATTGCTACACTTAATTTTGAGGATCTATGTCTTCTTATTGAGTTACAAATTCAAAACTCTAATGAAAATATTATTCTGGGTGGTGCAAATCTTCTAAATTCACCTAAACCAATAACTGCAATGCAATCTACACGTGGTGAATATGGATCTTATATTAATGATCATACTGCAAGACAATTTATTTCAGCAATTGCACATATTATTGAAGAGGCTACACTTAATGAATTATGAACCTCTAAAGCATGGAGTCTTATAATTGATGAAAGTAACACAATTTCTAATGAAAAAAATTTTGCTATTGTTTCATAACATATATCTTGTAATTTGCCAGTTTTTCGTTATTTGGGTATTATTAAACTTCAGAGTGCATCATCAAATACAATTCTTAATGATTTAGAGCAGTCTATTCTTGCTAAACATTTACCTCATGAAACACTTTATTATTTTGGAAGTGATGGCACTAGTGTTAATTTAGGTTAATATTTATTTTAATTATTTATTTTATTATTTATATTTATTATAATATTATAATTATATAAAATTATTTAGGACATGTAAATGGAATAGCAACACAATTAAAAACTCGTTTTCCATTTCTTACTGAACATTATTGTATAAGTCATCGCTTAGCACTTGCTTCTAAAGATGCTGCAGAGCAAACTCCATACTTTGAAACTTATGATAAAATTATTCGTCAACTTTATAGCTATTTTAGTCGATTATATTCATGATTACAAACTTTACGAATGATTCAACAAAGTTTAAATGAGCCTAATTTAGATATTTTACAAGTTATTAAAACCCAATGGCTTTCATTAAGCAATGTTGTTAATAATCTTTATCAAATTATTAATTTAGTAATTAGTGCTCTATTAGAGAATACAACTAAAAGCCAAAAAACTGCACAACAACTTTATAATAGTATCGATCAAGACTTTTTAATTGCAACTCATTTTTTAGCTGATATTCTTTCACAACTTCATTGTCTATCTTTAGTTTTTCAAGCTGATTATGTTTCAGTCTCAGAAGTTACAATGCAAGTAAATGCAGTTATTGAATCTATTACAGCTGATTTTATTGGTAAAGCAAATATACAACCTACTTTTGGGACTATACTATTACGGTTTATGAATCAGCAAAATATTTTACCTCATGATCTTCCTTTATTTGTATGAGAATTTGCTATAAATACAGTTAAAAATATTAAGCTTCGCTTTCCAGATCATAAACTTATATCTTTATTTAAAATTTTTGATCCAAAACAATTACCTACTAATCATTGTTTAATTTTAACTTATGGAAATTATGAAATTACTGAAATTGGAAATTTTTATGGAACTTCTAAAAAAACTACAGGTAATAAATTTTTTAAATAAATTTATAATTTTAAATAATCATATATTTATTTATTATTATTATTTATTATTATTTATAAAAAATTAGAACACGATTATCAAAAAATTATTGATGCAGACAATCTTTCACAAGAATGGCGAATTATCCGATCAATTCTCTCTAATTATTGTAATTTACATATTACTGATGCATGGTACAATATTTTACGAGATAATCAAGATTTTACTTTAATTTATCCTAATATTT